TATATTAAATAAATTCTTAGTTATATACATGCGTCTTAAATTTTTTAAATTATAAGTTTATGTTCAGTAACGAAACTTAGCAGTGTACTGCCTAGTATTAAAAAGTTAAGAGTTTTCTTTGGAATTTGCATATTGTAGCCTGACGATTACTATCAACATAGAAATGTGTAGTAATACTAAGATACTAAGATGCTATGATATTTCATTTAAATTCTAATAATTGTATACAATGTCGTTAAAACAAAGTAAAGTAAAGTAAAAGTACCCCTGTAACAGGCCGTGGAGGCTAGTATGGTTGTGAGATGTTGAGGTTCCCACATTTTCTAGACAATCGGCTCATAGATGGCGGTAAGGTTGTCAGCCTTACTCGCCGGCCACCATTTACACGTACCTCCAAGAATATTCCTGGTACTCATTTCTGTTAGAGGCTAAGTCGACCCCAGGGGCATAATGCGCCTGGAAGGATTAGGTAAACTGAAAAAGATCCAATGACCTCATCGGGGTTCGATTTCGCAACCTTCCGGCTTATAGCATAGTTCCTCAACCAAGTACGCTACCGCGAACAAGCAATGAGAAAACATTACATACAACAAATATGTACGTACCTAATCTGTTTCTCAAGTTAGTCACCGCCAGAGTTGAGGCACTTGTGTCGGGGAATAAGTTTTGGTATGCTTGCGTCAAAGAAGTCTTGCCCTATGAGCTCAGATACGTTTTGACGCATTTCATCAAGTACTCTTTATTGCTCAAGCGCTGTGATTGCAACCAGTTCTTCAGGTAGGTAAATAGGTGGTTGCCGCATGGAGCGAGATCAGGGCTGTAAGGAGGGTGGGCAAACAACTCCCAGTTGGGTAAATAGGTGGTTGCCGCATGGAGCGAGATCAGGGCTGTAAGGAGGGTGGGCAAACAACTCCCAGTTGAAATGCTGCAGCAGTGCTTGAGTGCGAGCAGTTGTATGTAGACGCGTTTTGCCATAGAGGACCACTATTCGTATACCGTATGTCAGCATTTCACACCTTTCATTCTAAATGGCATTTTTAGTGTTTCGAAATACACTTCTGATATCGTGATCCTTTGTTTCGTGAATTCCACCATCAGTACTCGTTTCCTGCCGAAGAAAACACTTTTCATCAGCTTTCTGGCAGGCAGACAACGTTTGTTTAAAATTTTCGGCTTCTGTGGTGAATGTGTGTGCGTCTGCTGCTTTGATTGTTCTTTGGTTTCAACTTTCACAAATGAAACCCAGGTTTCATCACTGTTACTCGTACAATGTGATTAAGAAATTCATCGCCATCTTTGTGGTATCGCTTTAAGAAGTCAATGCAGAATCCATTCTCTGTGTTTTGCGCGTACCCGTGAGCATTTTTGGAACCCATCTGGCGCAAAATTTGTGATAGCCTAGCCTAATTCTAATAATAATCTCACACAGAACAGGACGTGTAATTTGAGAAAATTCACAGGAAAGTTATGAAAATGCTAAGCGCTGTCTTTCAAAGTTTATTTGGTCAACATTTTGAGCAAGATCATCACTCACTGCATGTGGCCGACCACTTCGCTCAGCATTTGTTTGCCATCTTTGAATATTCTACACCATTGTCTTACAGTTCCTTCAGCGGCCTCCGTATTCTATAGGTAAAGCTCCCACCTCATGACTCGTAGTACGCGGGTTCAAATGCCCGGCGGAGGTCGTCGAATTTTTAAGGGCGGAAAAATTCAGGGAACAAGTCCTCCGGGAGGGACTTTAAGCCGTGGGTCCCGTGTCGTAGCTTTACGGCACGTAAAAGAACCTCATATCTTCAAAGGAGGTCACTGAGCCAAATTACGGACGTTTCCCGCCCAACAGCAGTCTCTAATACCTCTGGTAGATGGGGGAAACATTATAGATACCTCTCAGCTAGTAGAGCCGGTCTCGCTGGCTGGGCGGGACTGACGGTAAGCACCAGTACCGGTAGGATATAGAGACTGGTAGAATATCATAGAGGGAAGCACAATGGACCAATACAGATCTAAGTGCATGGGGAAACCCACCCTCTCCAATAACTAACTAACTAACTACAGTTCCTTCACTCATTAAATTCTGGCCGCAAACCGCCGTACATAATTCAATATGGAGTTCCGCAGCACTCATGTATTTAGCATGAAGAAAAGAGATAGGAGCTGGAATTTCGAAGCTGGCGGGATTATGAATCGCACGACACACCATAACTCACTCTGTAGAGATAAAAGCAAAGACTAGGTGATCAGTTTTATAGTGGTTTACAAGGCAATGTGTCATGTGACGCTACTTCGCATGCGCAAGCTCTCCCCCGCTCCTGCATTATTTGCCTAAAATAAAAGGTATTTACTTTCCGAATATCTCTCATATTTATACGAGTACATACTCGTATATAGAAAAAATAATTCATTCTAATAACGAATTCCATTCTTTAATAAAATTTTGTATTTGATCGGTCTGTGCTCATGCTGATGATGTTTGACAGCTGCAAAAACAAATAATACTTTGACATATTTGAACTTCTACCTTTATAGAGCACACCACCATGAGAATTTAATCTTTGCTCAGGTGGTAAAGAAGTGTTTCCTCTCTTACTGAACTCAAAGGTACATTGCTGTTTTCAGAAGAATCTGCCCCGGGCCCTTCTGCAACACTCCGTGTCATGCTGTTTTCTTTTACGATGGGGTAAACTTGACTCCAATTACGAGCCCCCCCTCCTCTCGTAGTAGGCGCTACAACCTTATATCCGCTCACATCGGCTCTCCGTGAGTTCTTGCTTACTCATTCGCACCTACCCTCGATATCTGGGGGCGGCCTGCTCCACCCACAACCCAAAGAAGCACCATGGACTAGAAACCTCATTCTGAGTAATTTTCTACCGCTCCAGTTATGTTACTACATGCACTCAAATCAAAAATAATCCCAAGGAGACAGTTGAACGTATGCTGTAGGCTCAATGAGGTCGGTACGTGACCTCTGACGAGAAGTCGACCAGTGAAAGTGATGCCATTTGTAGTGATTACTATAAATTCTCAGGATTCCTTTATCCACATCACATTTACTTAGACTCGGCTACGCTTTGCAAGGAGCCACGCTATGAAGTTTCTGCTGGTAAGTAGCAGCACGGCTCAGTGCTGAACAGGGGATCTAACGGGTGGGGCAGCTGCCCCATGCCCTGCTCAGAACGCTTCAATTTTACATTCCGATTATCCGGACACATGCACCTGTTCTTGTGGGTAACTCAGACGGAGATCGGTGACGAAGGGTAGCACTCCTGCTTCATATTCTGGAGTTCTAGAGTTCAAATCTTGTTCCGTAGGTAGGCTTTTACTGTGGCTTTCCTCACGGAATTGTCGGAATAAGANATGGTCTTTCCTGCTATCGGCTCTCATTTCTTTCAGCATTTCAAGTATTAGCTGAATGTCTTGCTCCTCCATTTCCTTTTTTTCGTAAATTCAATACTTCTTCCTAAATCAATGCGTGTTTAAGCTCGTAAAATTCTGACACCAAATTGTCACGTGTTTTGAGTTCGAAGCTCGTTGGTCACGTGTGTAAGTTCAAATCCCAATGTAGCGTGTTTTGTGTGTCACGCCACAAATAAATCCACGCCGTTCTTCGATATAGCGAGTTTATTACGTTCGCTCGTCTTACACACTTTACAAACATTTACACTTGCAGTGTTACAATAATTCGGCGAGACACTGGACTCTTCTCTGGCGGTTTCTAGCAGACTCTCTTCTCCGATGGCTGATCCGAGACTGACTTCTTAGCTAGCTCTTCCAGGACTGACTGGCGAATGCATTCAACCCCGCTGTTGTCGCTGTGGAAACGTTGCTCTGTTTGTTCTGCGTTTCCTACGCAATAACCCATTGTTATCGCTGTCCCTGTTGGAACGCTTCGCGTATTCGTCGTAACCGTGGAGATTCGATGTTTCTTATNTTTTTTTTTCAATTTACCTACTCCTTCCAGCCGCACTATGGCCCTGGGGTCAACTCAGCCTATAACAGAAATGAGTACCAGGAATATTCCTGGGCTTGGGTAAAGGACGGCCGGCGCGTAAGGCTGACAAACTACTATCATCTGTGAGCAGATTGTCTAAAGAAAATGTGGGAGCCTCGACGTCTCACAACCCTATGGGCCTTCACGGCCTGTTACGGGGAGAACTTTACCTTTAAATACGAGTACTTCATGCACTGGAAACGGTGTCATGTAGAAGTTACAAATATTAAATTGAAATATATCGGACATTTAGTGTCATCTCTGATGTCCAATCAGAGTCACACCAAATCCGCTCAAAAATATAATTAGTACCTCTTTCTGACCAGAGGATTTTGAACGAATATTATAGGCACTTTTGGAGATACAAACACTCACAAATTGTACTCTGGTCTTAGTTATATCTCCTAAAATAAATATAAATTAAATAAAAATAGTATTTACATAAGTTTCTATACATTCTCAAATCAGTATAAAATAAAGTAAATTTGATTTTTATTTACAAAGCCATATTTTTCCACTTATGGTCTACATGCAGTTCAGTGAACTCCTTGATATATTTTTCATCTCAGAAGAACAAACACAGATATCTCATTCTGTTTACACGTTATTCGTGGCAACTACTCGTAGTTGCCACGAATGTATGAATATAAATACATAAATAATGGACGAATAATTGTAAATAATGAAATAAAGAAAGAAGTAAAATAATAAGGATTTGTAATGCTTTATACCTTAAGTCATTTGGAAACAGGGTAACGGGGAAAACACGTCTTCAAGAAGCACTGATACTGTGATTAAAATCAATTGACATGAAATTGGCGAGAAGTATGACATCCAAGGGTGAGATCACAAATGCATATAAAATTTTACTCGGAAAATCTGAGGTGAACATAGATCGCATTATGCATTAGATATAGTGTACACCTTCTCCTAGAAGTCACGAAATGTGTGGAGGAAACAGTGACACAAATGAATTTGTATTGCAGTTTCCTATCCCTACTCACAGATGCATAAACAGAGTTTCTGTGTCCAGGTTTGTGTGCTGGCCGCTGCCGCCGCCGATGCTATGGTTAACAGAGGTGTCATCGAGGCACGTGAAGACAAACGGGGTCTTCTGTCTGGTCCTGCCCTGTCAGAACACGGTTACGGCCTGGGTCTGGATCTGGGCCTGGGACTGGGACTGGGACGAGGCCTAAGTCTTGGAGGAGACCTGGGCCTGGCAGCTGGCCCAGCTCTCAGCGTGGCAGCTGCTCCAGTATTTGCTACCGCCCAATCTGTTGCCACTGCGCCCGTCGTTTCTGCCGCCCCCGTGTCTGTAACCACAATAACGCGCCATGTCCCTGTTCCTTTGCCACAACCCGTCCCTGTGTCTGTTAATCGTCCCGTTCCTGTAGCCGTCCCTGCCCCTTATCCAGTAGATGTCCCTCGCCCTGTCCCTGTATCGGTGCCTCAACCGGTCCCAGTCACCGTAGTGAGGCCCGTCCCTGTTAGTGTGCCACGGCCTGTCCCAGTGCCGGTCACTCAGCATATCCCCGTGCCTGTACCGCGCCCTGTCCCTGTGACTGTGCTTCAGCCTGTCCCTGTACGTCAGCCTGTAGTTCAACCTGTAGCAATAACAGTGCAGCAGCCTCCCCTCGCTCTCGGGGCTCCAGGCATAGGAGGAATTGCATTCAGTGGTGGGCTGGACCTTCACGGCTCCAGTAGCTACGTCTACAACTCGCTGGGTTCGGGTCTGCAAGCCGCTAGTTATGCTCCTAACTATTTGTCTCCCTACAAACACTGATCTCGGCTAGGATCTCGAAGTAAGACACTCCACATACATAATATTCAGAGCTACATTTTAAACATGTGTCCTCCACAGAATAGTGTTCCTTCGTCACTTTAATGGTACACAAGTTCGTATTTAATAATTTTAAAAACTGTTTAAGTGGAATTAAATGTAATTGCATTTAGAAATAACTACTGATTTAGAAATGTCACAAATTAAATGTTCTAGGTACAGATTTCGGTGTGGCATGAAGCGTCCTCATGCTGAATAAACAAATTCTGATAAGAGTCCGAAAATCAAGTTAAACATCAAACCGAATGGAAGCGAATTCACCTTAGGAAAATTGAAGAGTTTTGTGTTCTGCAGAAACAATAATTGCTAATCAATTTACGTAAAAAAATTGTGAAATTGTTTTAGTAAAATTTTGTAAATTCTGGCTTATATTAGAATTATATATATATATTTCTCTCTCTTCTGAATGCTATTAAAATCTTGGGGTAATTCTAATCCTCAGAACAATGAAATTTACAAGCAATATATCCAGGCTTTCAGACAGAAATGCCAGTGTTTAGAAAACTCCTGCTCTCCTTAAAGATTTTTTATTTAAGTTCTTCTTAGGAAGCACGAATACATATTCTTCCAGCATTTTCGTATTGCACTATCACTGAATGTTTTATATACTCGTAGAAAGATACGACAAAGTGCTATCATGTCACTAAGGAAGACGACTCAGAATCAAAATTAAATGTGTCTGGAAGTGTAAGCATAACGTAACATAACAATTCTGACGTGTTTGGCCTGTTATTACATCTAGATTTTCAATTCATTGTTAACTCTGAATCTTATTTACAAGCAGCGAAAAAACAAATATGATGGATGAGGAACCCTATAATGTACTTGACTTCTAAGTGTTAATAAAATTGTACAATAATAAAGGATTTCTTTTAACTTTGCTGGTGCAGTAAAAGGATTAACAGCTACAGACCTATCAACTGAATATGTTAATTAAGCGGTAAGTCTGTAGATTACCTGAACACAGGCAATCCTGACTGGGATTTCTCGTGTTTTCATTCAGTCCTTCCAGGCAGATGCTTGGATAGTACGTCTATTACGTCACGACCGCTTACTTCCAAATCATCATTCACGTGACATCTTCTCCGAAGCTATATAATCTCCATATCGAAAATATCCTTAAATAACCAACTAACGAATCGATTTGGAAATACAGCACACTCATTCATGAGAACGGACCTCATAGTACACCACCACTACATAAATAAGCATCATCATCACCATCAGTAATCTGTCAGACGACAGGTCCACAGTCTCTTCCAAAAGAATTCCTCCACTTAATGCGATCTACAGTATATTTAAAAAAAAAAATTATATAAGACTGATATATTAAAAAAAAAGACATTGGTACCAATACCATGAACCTAATCACCAAAACATAAGTAATTTTAAATTATTATTTAAATTTAAGCTGACATAACGACATAATATTTTATTCTCTTACATATTTTTAAGATATATACCGATGACTTGCATAAAATTTGTTACATATTGAGGAACTCTGTCAAAAATAATCATACTTTTCGAATAATTTTAAACTACATTACATTTTCTACTTCTCAATTTTAAGAAAATGTGGTCTAGTGACGGATTTATAATGCAGAAGTTGGCAATCAAGAAGTAAATGAGAATTAAAATGGATGGTGTGGATGGATAACAAATAAAGAACCTAATTCGAGAACACGAGTAAGGGCTTGGTCCAGTACACATTTACATAAGTCCATCTGAACTTTGCAGCTCCTAACCCGTGAGATGTTGCGCGTATAAAGAAAATAAAAATTGGCGAGAGAATTTCAGATCGCTTATCGAGCAGGTTCCTCTCGGAACGGGCCTCAGTCCTAGACACCTGTGAGAATAAAGTTTCACCGTCTGAGTGTTGATATCCCCAGAGAGAGGCTAAGAGTAGGCCATGTCCGTAATTTCCACGTTATTTCCAGTTCACCACTCTGAACTTTAAACTCGTGTAATTCATTAAATGCAGTTCAATACCAATAAGAAGCAGACACCGGAATGTTCATATAAGCTTAAAGAATGGAATAAAATTCTAAAAGGTTCCGACGATGCTGTATAATACTTCGAATTAATGGGTTTTCGAACTCTGTATATCGTTTGGATCTATTTCTGTCTTCAAGTGACAAGGGAGACGCCTACTCTGTTGAGTCCCCCCTACACTGAAGACGGAAACAGATCCAGATTCCGAAACATTGTGTTTTCTAGCTTTTAGATTACCGGACGATGGACGAAGTCCGAAAACCAAGTAATTGTGAGATATCCCGCGCCATAGCTCAAGCGGTTAGTCACTTGCTTACCACCGCGGCGGCCTGGGTTCGATCCCGGGTCTGATCAAGTGGGATTTGTGGTGGACAAAGATGCACTGGGGCGGGTTTTCTCCGAGTACTTCGGTTTCCCTGCCAATCTTCATTCCAAAAAATTCTCCATCATCATAATCACCCGGGGCAGGCTATAATAGGCCAATCAGTGGCCGCCGTGCAGAGTGGACGCAGTTGGACTCCACCCCCCACTAAGCGAAAAGAAAAAGTAATTGTTAGCATAAAGAATGGAAATATTATGCTCACTACGGTGAGAATGTTTGCGTTGCTAGTGTGTTATGGCAACGTCTACATTTGGGTTGTAAACAGGTAAAAGCTATCCCTATAACAGTCCGCGAAGGCCCATAGGGTTGTGAGATGCTGAGGATCCAATATTTTCTTTACACAATCGGCTCACAGATGGCTATAAGTTTGTCAGCCTTACGCGCCGGCCACCCAACTAAATTTTTGTATGGGGTAGAGTATTTCTTAAGGAGCTAGTAAGTCCTCAGTTAGTCCTGAAATTTCCCATATTTCAGGGAACGTGAAAGTGTATTACCCTGTTCAAAACAGACCGTTACTTCAACATGACCTTGAGTCAAATGAACCCAGTCCACACACTCCAATCCTACTTATTCTAGATCCATTTTAATATTATCCTTTCATCTGTGTCGTGATTTATAACATGGTCTCTATCTATTAGGTTTTCTTGCCAGAGTTATTCAAATATTTCTCTTCTTTCACATGCGTGTTATGTACCCTGCCCATCTCATCAACCTTGGCTTGTTCATCCTAACAACAAATTGTGAAGAGAATAAAATATGAAGCTCCTCTTGGTGAAATTTTTTTTAGTCTCCTGCCCTTCCCTTCTCCTAAACCCGAATTTTCTCCTCAGCAACTTCTCAAGTTCTCCCAGCGGTGGTTATGAAGAAGAGCTAAATCTTCTGGGATATAAGCTTAAGATGAAGGTCCCACGCAAGTGACCGCGCCATAGCTCAAGCGATTAGTCGCTGGCTTCCCACCGCGGCGGCTCGGGTTCGATCCCGGGTCTGGTAAAGTGGGATTTGTGGTGAACACAGTGGCGCTGGGGTAGGTTTTCACCGAGTACTTCGGCTTCCCCTGTCAATCTTCGTTCCACCAATTTCTTCACAATCATCCTCACCTATCATCTGGGGCTGGTACAGTAGGCCAGAAGTGGCAGCAGTACAAGGGACTTAGTCCCACCCCACTAGCAATAAAAAAAAAGGTCCCTCGTTCCTCCGAAAAGTCGGTTCACTTTCGCCGGGCTCCATGGACTCCCCTCTAAAATATTTTTTCCTTTATGTGGCAGCAAGTTTCATATTCAGCAGAAACAGGGTCCAAAAATTATAATATCTTGTGTTTTATATTTTCCTTTTTATACAACAGAAGAAGAGACAAAAGACCGTGAATATAGCTTGCGCAAAAATATTCAAGAATGTAATTTACTCTTATTTTTTTTTCTGGAATTCAATTTTGATTTGTCGTTTTCGTTCTCAGACATTAGAACTTCGTCACATTTTATAAGCATTTAGCAGTTATACTGACGTTATGGTTCTGTCCTCGCATTCTCGTGAACAATTATGAACAAACGCTTGGTTTTCTCAAGGATTACAGCTAGACCAATCTCTTTACCAGCAACTGATAAGGGCTTCTACGTTGGATTTGGAGTTCTCACAGAGGTGGTTATGAAGAGTGTTATTTTCTGGATTTGACGCCGTGTAGTTCGGAAATAGCATGAAAATTCGCAGGAACATACCTCTTCCGTCTTCAGGGTCGAAGATTAAGCCAAGCATGAACCGAGCAAGGAACAGGTGGCAAGGAGAGAGGACCGGGCGTGGAGAGTTAGACCTGATTAATCCAGGCCTGAAAGCTAGAGTGAGCCAGTCAGTGGTAGGACGGACGCTGTCTCTAAAGGGGCTCAGAAAGAAACAGAAATAGCTTTCGGTATAACAATTATGCTACAATTTATTTCGCCTAAAAGTAATGAGAGCGGCGTGAGACGCCGTATTTTTATAGCTTCCTCAGAAACGTCTGCCTTTTCTGAATTAAATGTCTTGGCGCTGCAATCAAAAATACCGTGCTATTCAGGAGTTTCTGGTTCTTTGTGTTGTTTATATCTCTGACCAGCAAATTAATAACATCAGCAAAGATCAGACGCTTTCTACCGGACGTTCTGTGGAAAGAAGTCTGCACGAAGGGTATTATTGCTTTAATATGTACAGGTTTACTAGATATGATCTTAGAATTCCGGATATTTAACTAACAATGATGAATTGTAAGTCATAGAATAGAAACGACTTGTTCTATAATCTCCACAGTTGATCTGGATCCCGCGAGAATGTATTGTGACATGAGCCCTGAACGCCGGAAGTGTGCATTCAGAGAAGCACCGCAGATACGTCCACTGCTAAATAACGACAACCTACACATGTTTCCATGGCAATAGATAAACGCATAATAATATAGGAACTGCTAGGGTTGATGATCTCTAATCCGTTCCATCCGAAACTATAAAGGGAGGACACGTGAGAAAGCTCAGTCAGTTCAGAAGCTGTAAGAGAACTGAGACAGGGAAACGAGACTGGAGCTAGTCCTCGGCAGTAGATTGACTGT